GTCAAATATCAGTTCCTCGAAGAGTTCAGGGAATCTCGTAGTCGAGCAGTCTCGACAAGAGCTTTCTTAATTGTTAATACATTATTATGCATCTAACCAATTTTCTTTTCCACTAACACTGACTTTTATCCAAAGTATTTGCTTAATTCCCTCTAAAGATCAATCGCAAGTTCTATATTCAGACCATTGCAAATCGGCGAAGCTTTCCTGTTTAAGAGCTCCTTTCAGATACATCTACGGCGTAGAGAGATGCTCTGGCAGTTGTTTTTATAAGTGCCTGAACTGATCTCATATTCTAATTAACTTTATTCATATACATATGTATAGAATGAAGAGCATGTGCGATCTCCAAATAAAATCATCAAAACAACCCTTCCCACTCCCCATCCACCTTTCCTTTCCGCCCACCTCGTCTGCACTGCTCACACACGCTGCTGCTCTATTTGCGGACTTCTAAATGAGCAAATCTACTGCTACGCACGCATACACCCACACATGCAACTAACAACAGTATGTACAACGATTGTGTGTATGTGTGTAACGTCATGTATGCAATGAATAAGAAAAAGCAAAAAGTATATTCTTGCACACACACACACACACACACACACACACACATGTTACGTACGCGCTTTCTATCTCTCTCTCTCCCCTCTCTATCTCTTTTTCTCTTTCTGTCTCCACTCGTATATTTTTCTCTACACATGCATTTATACATATATATCTGTATATATACATATACATAATTGCGAAGGAGTTAAGACGGCTTGCTCGTTAGTCAAAAAAAAAAAAAAAAAAAAACTGCGAAGCAACGAACCTCCCCCTTTAGCTTTTTTTTTCTTATTTATTCATTTTTTCCTTTTTTTTTTCATATATATGTATGTATTTTGCTTGCTGGAGGCTGGCTCAATACACAGATGTTGAAAGGCTCCACTCTGCATGCATGCATGTGTGCTTCTGGGTGTGTGTGTTTGCATATGTACATACACATACATATAACATATATATATATATGTATGTATGTATATATGAGTATGTGTAGCAGCCTTAATGGGCGGAGGGGCGGGGAGGGGGGGGGGGTAGGTCGAGAGACCCGAAAAAGGGGGATTTCTTTACCTTCTGTCGTGTGTGTTTTATTCATCTAAATTTAAGCGTAAACGCAGACGCGAGTTTTTGGCTTTCGAGTGTCACTATGAAATGACAATGTAAGTATATCTATATGTGTGCACATACATGCATACGCCACACTGTTGAATACAGACATACCTACATTCACACACACACACACACACACAAACATTTTTATGTAGGAGCATCAACGGTTGGGCTGTAGGTGGCTCGCTAATAAATGTATGTATGTATGTATATACATATGTTGCATGTTTAACTGTATGCAGCATTCGCACTCGACACACGTACACACACAAAGAGAGAGAGAGAGAGTAAAAGAGAGATAAAGATACGTTTGTCAGTGGATGGGCTAGAGCTGTTTCGCTAATAAATGTACGTATATACATATGTGCATGTGTGCGTATGTGCATAAATTTACATTCGTACACACACACACACATACACACACTCATAGCTACCGCTAAGGGTGGAGCATTTATAATGTACAGCAGATTCTCCATACGCAATTCACTAGGGAATAAATAAAATGGAGTTTTCTAATTAAGGTTCCAGAATTGTTCCTTTGCTTTGAAAAAGTCGTCAAATATTGCATACAATATAAGCATATACAAACATGTATGTACTATGTACATATGCATAGATGTATGTACATATAATAGTTAAATAACTATAACTAGGTGAGAATAAATAGATATAATACGAAATGTTCATATAATCGCATGCCCGTCTGTACCCATTCATCGCCGTCTCGTCTATCCAGTATGGGCATATACCGATATGGTGAAGAGATTGAGTGCGTAAGTATTATATAAACTTCCTCTCCCCTCTATGTATGAGAATGTGTGTACTCCCAATGTTCTAAATATTTGATAAAGATTCAAGATCGAAGGTTGGGAATGTATTCTATTTAGCTATCTGTCGATTGGGGATATGAGTTCACATAGTTCTACTAAATCGCTTGGCTATCTAAACATCCATCTATAATTTCATTTTATAATTATACATACAAAACAAGTAAGAAAGCTTTAGTCGAGACTGGTCGACTACGAGATCCTCTGAACCCTTCGAGGAACTGATGTTTCACGGATTCTTCACGTCTTTCAGGTTACACAAGAAACACTTAAACACGCATGGGCTGCGGTGTGTGCCTACTATGGGAACTTAACTGTTTAATAACTCTTCCAGTGAATGGACTTTCTTCATGAAACTTTTAGATTGTGATTGTATCATTAAAATGTATCGGTTGCCAAAGCACAAGTCTCTACTATTTGAAATACGCCTTTTCAAAATTTGTTGAGAAGGGATGAATATACAATATATATATGTATATATTAATGCGTCCTTCCATCCGTCTGCCCGTCTATCCGTCTGTTTGAACGCGTCGATCTCACAGACGCTGGAAACTTTCTTAGGTTCATGTATATCACACGCTTATCGAGTTTGCTTCAAAAAATCGATAACTAATCCCGTTGTTTCGTTATCGATTAAACCTTATCAAAAATCAGTTATAAAATTATTAATCATCATTAAAACTAGTGTACCCATATTTTAAATATAGATGCATTCGTGATTATTTTTTAGAATTTCGATTTTTGTAAAATTTCACCGCTATCCCCAAATGCGCACTTGTGAAAGTGTATTTCATATCCCAGAGACTTGTGCTTTGGTAAAAAGTCGCATATTAATATTGTAATAAAGATCTGAAGATAGTCCATCTGCAAAAAAACGTTAATAAGCAAGCAAGCAGTCTAGACAAGAGCTATCTTACTTGCCATATCGTTGCTAGATCGTTTTTTACCCCAAACCCATTGAAAATGGGAAACCAGGAAAGTACATAGACTTGATAGACTCCATTAAGTATATATGATGATTCGATAGTTTTTTAGACGCTATTGAAGCTAGAGATTTCAAATTTTGAACATATATTCGTATATACCCTAAATTTATAAATTGTTGAAATTTTCCCGATTGGCAAATTGGAAAGTTCATTTCCCAAAACCAATATACTCATTTCAGTTTCGTAAATAAGAATAAAAAAGGGGATGGATTTGAAGATCAGGGTACTTAACCGAAGATACCTTCCGGCCGCAATATGATATATGTATTTCGCAAAGTCTCCACGCTCAAAATCAATGCGTGAAAGAGTCTAAGATAGTTTGCACTTCTCAGTCAAGGCCCCACTGCTCATCTTCGTATCTATACGTTTATATGTACAACAATACTGTAAAGGCAATCAACTTAATTGAGATTCACAGTTTAATCGCAGTTGCTTCACTTAAAGGCATAGAGCTCTACAGCACAATTGGTCTATATAAATAATATCGTTAAATTATTTTGGCCTTAGATTAATATTTACATTTGGTATATATGAGAACGTCAAATATAATACTTATAAATCATATACATATTATATATCTTCTTCATCTTATATCGTAGTATTCCCACGAAATGATCGTATGTTGATTTTTTGTGAAATTGAGGTTTTAATGCAGAACGGTTAGAAAACGTCTGTCTCACATACTTGCAAAATAACAACTAAATTCGCTCTAGATTCCGAAAAAAAAAAAAAAATAATTTCAATTTAAGCCTATGTACATTACCAAAATTAAACAATTAAGAAAGCTCTAATCGTGACTGCTCGACTACGAGATCCCCTGAACCCTTCCAGCAAATGATGTTTCAACAATTATTCGCATGCACACACACACGCACACACCCAGAAATACATACGCACGCACGCATAGACATGCATTGGTTGCTTACTATGGAAACTTAATTGTTCAATAACTTCTTTCTTGTGAATGTACTTTCTTCATGAAACCTTCAGATTACAATTATAGCATATGCATGCATTTGCACAAGCACAAGTCTTTAATATTTGAAATACGCCTCTTACAAAGGTGCGGGTGAGGGGATGAATATAGGGGGGGGGGGGGGGAATTTTTTTTAACAAAAACCAAAATTACTTGTGGGGCTGCCACGCCTCCTCCTGCCTGTTACATACTTTTAACAAACCCATAATACCCTGATTTCATGTTTTCAATGGGTTCAAAATATAAAAAAAAGCTTTTTCTGTAAAATTAAATTTTTCGACATACGCTCAATGCGCAGGAATGCGACGATAATTTATACAGTTTTGAGTTATTTTGATATGAATCGGTATTTAATTACCTAAAATGGATTTCCTTACTCGACACTGAAATAAGTCTCATTGATGCGACAAAGCATAGTGAAGGAATATTTGAAGCGCATATGCATATGCATATGTGTACATATGTATATGTATGCAAAGAGCGGGACTATACTACATAGCATACATACACACAGATTCATGCATACATATGTAAGTAAATTCAACATCCGACGGTAGTTATAAACAAATATAATGAACGATGATTGTCATTGCTTGGACTACTCCCACACATTGGATACACGAACCTGTACGAAGGGGCAGCCGCATATAGGCGCTCACGTTCTCGCACGACTGAGAAGCTCATTGGGTACTTTGTTTTATGGGATGTTTTGTCTCTCTCCCGCCTAATTACCACTCTGCGTGGCAATAATTACCAATTACTAAACTCTCGCTCTCGCTCTCTCACTCTCGGTCTCCCACGCTCTCGTGCTCACGTCCTCTCTTTGACGCTCAACGGTCGACGCTCTCAAGCTTGCTCTTTATGCTCTAGCGCTCTCACACTCTTTATATCTCTCTCTCTCTCAACAGTGATTCCGGTTCTTCTCTCTTGCTTTTATTGCATACTCTCTCGCGGTGTGTGTGTGTGCGAGCCCGTCGTGCGTTTAGGGTGAAAACTAACTCAGTGATACAAAAAATGTGAAGATACTGATACAATTGGTAGTATGAAATCGACGGTGGAAGCGGCTAGGTTCACGTTATCGAGGTACAGCGCTTAGTGCAACAGAGGATTAAACAAAATTAAAAAGAAAAATCACAAAAAATATATAACACATAATTCGAAATGAATATTAATATTAAAAGCAATAATAAAACATTTTTATTGTACACACGTACAAGCATTTGTAAATCCCTACATATGCCTAAATGCTAAAAGAAGCCAATGAAACTGCGCAATTTTTATTGCAAAACTCAAAACGGTGCTTACACGAAATCACTAATCATTGTCGCCTAGCCTAAAAATAAGCGTATACATTGTATATACATTATGTATACTTGCATCGGGTTCATTTTGTGCTAAATATTTGTGTTTGGTATAAATTCATTGGTGACTCTATTTGATTTTACATAAATTCAACTGCAAAATAAACAAATCCCAGAAAAATTGCCGGAAAAGTAAATTAATAAATGAATATCGAATTTGTCCACATAAAACATGCATTCAACTGTGTTATTTCATATATTGTGTGCTATGGATTATCAGTGCATCAGAGTACAAATGAAAACTGTTTTAGTAACTGTTCCCATAACGGTTCCTTATATATCAATGCCTACATCTATTAACCCGACAACCGCAACCACAACAACTGTCTTCCCATGGCATATGTTCACCCAAACGTTGCGTTTTCGTTCCAATTCTTTGTGCTCTGCCCACTGTGCCAAAAAAAAAAAAAAAAAAAAAAAAAAAAAAA